AAAACGAGGCCCGACGGTGGCGCCCTCGGCATAACGCGGGCTGAAGTGTCTTCGGAATGTCGGTTTCGTTGCTGGTTGATTTTCGTTATGTGTTATTGTTATTATTATCATCATTAAAGTGTTAATACTACTATTATTTTAATAATTATGATGATTTTTATCGCTATCATTATCATTGTGATGATAATCATTATTATTACTATTATTGTTATTATCATTATTATTGTACTTATTATTATCATTATTGTTGTCACTATTGTTGTCATTATTATTATTATTGTTATTATCATTGCTATTACTATTATTATTATTATTGTTATTGTTATTGTTATTGTTATTATTATCGTTATTATTATTATTATTATTATTATTATCATTATTATTATTATTATTATTATTATTATTATCATTATTATTATTATCATCATTATCATTATTATTATCATCATCATCATCATTATTATTATTATTATTATTATTATTATTATTATCATTATTATTATCATTATCATCATCATCATCATCATCATCATCATCATCATCATCATTATTATTGACATTATTGATATTATTTTTTTAAATGTTTTCATTGTTATTGTTATTATCATCATTACTATAATAATAACAATAGTAATAATAATGATAGTAATAATAATAATAATAACAATAATAATAACAATGATAATAATAATTATTATCAAAATTATTACACTCTTGTTCATTCTTCTTTCCCCATAGATACAGACCGGACAGAAAATGAGAGAGAAAGAGAGAGAATGGGGGAGAGGGGGGGGGGGTTGAGAGAGAGAGAGTTAGAGAGAGAGGCTGGGGGTGGTGGACAGAATAAATATATATATATATATATATATATATATATATATATATATATATATATACATACATATACCTATATATATGCATATGATACATACACCTACATGAACAGAAACAAACAAACATACAAACAACTATGCAAATGATATAGACCCAAACAAAAACAAACACGGAGAACACACATACCCACACCTTCTCAACCTCACATATTCACGCCCTTGCAATACCACCCACGAAGGCCACATTCCTCATCACACACCTAAGGGACCAGAAGGATTTTCGTTTGTACATGTAATTACAGGAGGGACTTGAAGCAGGCCAGAGAAGGCAGAGGTCTTGATCCCTAATTAACTCTGGACCAACACAGGTGGGTATTCTTGTATGTGAGACGCGATTAGGGCCTTATTAGTAGTACTTTTATTTCTTTGTCTGTTGGTTTGCTGGTTCGTTCGGTAGTTGTTTAGATGGTTAGTTAATGGATTTGGTAATCTAGTTTGTTTATGGGTTTGGTAAATCGTTTGTTTGTTAATGATTTGGTAGTTAAATAAATTGGGTAATTAGATAGTTAATGGATTGGGTAATTAGTTAGTTAATGAGGTGGTAATTAGTTAATGGATTGGGTAATTAGTTAGTTAATGGATTGGGCAATTAGTTAGTTAATGGATTGGGTAATTAGTTAGTTAATGGATTGGGTAATTAGTTAGTTAATGGATTGGGTAATTAGTTAGTTAATGGATTGGGTAATTAGTTAGTTAATGGATTGGGTAATTAGTTAGTTAATGGATTGGGTAATTAGTTAGTTAATGGATTGGGTAATTAGTTAGTTAATGGATTGGGTAATTAGTTAGTTAATGGATTGGGTAATTAGTTAGTTAATGGATTGGGTAATTAGTTAGTTAATGGATTGGGTAATTAGTTAGTTAATGGATTGGGTAATTAGTTAGTTAATGGATTGGGTAATTAGTTAGTTAATGGATTGGGTAATTAGTTAGTTAATGGATTGGGTAATTAGTTAGTTAATGGATTGGGTAATTAGTTAGTTAATGGATTGGGTAATTAGTTAGTTAATGGATTGGGTAATTAGTTAGTTAATGGATTGGGTAATTAGTTAGTTAATGGATTGGGTAATTAGTTAGTTAATGGATTGGGTAATTAGTTAGTTAATGGATTGGGTAATTAGTTAGTTAATGGATTGGGTAATTAGTTAGTTAATGGATTGGGTAATTAGTTAGTTAATGGATTGGGTAATTAGTTAGTTAATGGATTGGGTAATTAGTTAGTTAATGGATTGGGTAATTAGTTAGTTAATGGATTGGGTAATTAGTTAGTTAATGGATTGGGTAATTAGTTAGTTAATGGATTGGGTAATTAGTTAGTTAATGGATTGGGTAATTAGTTAGTTAATGGATTGGGTAATTAGTTAGTTAATGGATTGGGTAATTAGTTAGTTAATGGATTGGGTAATTAGTTAGTTAATGGATTGGGTAATTAGTTAGTTAATGGATTGGGTAATTAGTTAGTTAATGGATTGGGTAATTAGTTAGTTAATGGATTGGGTAATTAGTTAGTTAATGGATTGGGTAATTAGTTAGTTAATGGATTGGGTAATTAGTTAGTTAATGGATTGGGTAATTAGTTAGTTAATGGATTGGGTAATTAGTTAGTT